AAAGGAATAGGTTACTACTCCAGCCATGCTCAGTGACTGGTTGAGAACAACCATGAGAACCATTCCTCAAGACAAATGAGATGGAAGATCTCATACAAAACATTGACACTGCCAGTCAACTATATTCCCCAAACACAAGGACTGAAGCTTTTCATAACTTTCATAGTGGTCTGGGGATTTAGCTCAGGGTGCCGCCACCTGCCCCACAAGCACAAGGTCCTGAGTTTGATCCCTGGTACCAAAAAAAACTGCCATAGTACTTGTGGCAGAATTCATGCTGAGACAAACCACTTAACAGAGAGATTGTTGAGTGTCTGTAATGACAATCTAATAACCAGAAACAAAAGTATTTTAAAAATCTGATGATTATAAAATGGCCATATTAGCTTTAATCTACTTCTAATGTTATAGGTAAGCAGGCTGGAGTTTCATTGTGAATGTAGCAATGACCCCCTTTTCAAATATATGTTATGGTGGTAAGGCAGGAGATAGTGTGGGAAACATCCTGGCCTTAGGCTTCACTATAGGCAGGTTGTCTTCCAGCTCTTGGAGTTTACAAGATGCCTTCCTTAATCAAACTTCCTTGATATTTAATAGAAGCTTAAGAGAGACGCTATAGCTCTAAACATGTTTTGACATCTGGCATGAGTCAAAGGAGCATATGCTCTGTTGCAGAATAACCAGGGGAAATTGCATGGTCATTATACTATTAGCATTAAGGTTTTAATCTCCTTCATAGGTGCAGGCAGCCATGTCGGTTCCATCTATATCCACGTAAATTAAGAAACACTCCCTCCCAGTGTGAGGTTGGATATTCTCAATTAATTAGAGAATCCTTTTAAGGAACACCCAGACTCCAAGACTCAGAAAAGGTCCCAATAAATACTTGAAAATCTAAAGTAGACAGAATCACTCTGAGTCAAAATCACTCGAGTTTTCTCATTGGCCTGCTCCTGCTTCTGTAGAGAATACTGACCCTTTAATAAATCTCTGCTTTTTCTTACTAGTTCTGTGTGTCCTGCTTGATTCTTTGTTCAAGATAAAGAGACCTTAATATCTGGTGAAAATGAGTCCACCTGTCCAGTAACACTGGGAGTGAAAACAAGTTTTGGATTTTTTTTTTTTTTTTTTTTTTT